CTATGCACAGCGTATGTTGAGTTCCAACCTCAAAGGGAGATCCTGGAGAATTAACACAGTCCCCTCACGTAGACTACACAATATTATGTGACAAGAGCCTGTAGGACCTTCTCAGACCATACTCACATTAGCACTTCCCTAGATATATCTGACCACTATTACGCCAGACCGGGCTGCATCTGACTGCAATCGCATCCAAAGCTCAGTCGAAAAAGTCCTGGCGTGAGTATAGGAGTAGTATACACCTTCAAACTGTCCTTCGGGACATCCGTTAAAATTGGAACGATACAGAGAGAAGATTAGCATGGGGCCCCTGCGCAAGGATGACACGCGTAAATCGAGAAATGGTCCAAAAAAAAAAAAAAAAAAAAAAAAAAAAGTATACACCTTCAACCTGGCCTTCATAAATCTCTCAGGGCATAGAGGGAAGCCACAAATGTTACTGACCACTACCGTCTTCACCCTGATCATGAATGTACACAAAGCTATTTTCCAGTCAGATACGGTCACGACGAGGGCGGGTTGTGCGCGGTGAAGATGGTAGCAGCAAGACCGTCTTCCCCTGATCATAACTCACCCTGATCATGAATGTACACAAGCTATCTTTCCCGTCCAATGCAGTCACCTGATCATGAATGTACCCAAGCTCTCTTTCATGTCCAATGCGGTCACGATGACGGTGCGTTGCGTTGCGTTGCGTTCCACAGAAGACGGTAGCAGCAGGACAGTCTTCCCCCGAACACAACTCACCCTGATCATGAATGTACACAAGCTATCTTTCCAGTCCAGTACAGTTCACCATGAGGGTGCATTGTCTAGTACACAGCCACAATGAGGGTGCGTTGTGTTCGGCAGAAGATGGCAGAGTTATGATAGTCTTCCCCCGAACACAACTCAACCTATCATTGATGTACGCAAGCTTTCTTTCCTGTCAGATACATTCTCAACGAGGGTGTGCTGTGTTCGGGGGAAGGCGATAGCAGCAGGGAAAAATCCATTTGGAGGCATTGAATTGTCCACCGTGCATTCGATTGTCCACCGTGCAAATCCGTCATCTTCATGGCGGAGATGTGATTCTCTCCAAATTTGAGCTCATCCTGATGCCACCATAGTGGATGATCCCTATCCCTGGTTAACTACACCGAGAAAGAGTTTCACTGATAAGAATACGAAATTCAATAAGCTTGCAATCAATAATCAATAATCAATAATCAGTAATCAGTAATTCCTTTTTTTTTTTTTTTTNTTTTTTTTTTTTTTTTTTTTTTTTTTTTTTTTTTCCGAAACACGCCCCCACCAGTGTTAGTGGTGCTGATAGTAATTCCTACAGCCAACAAGCACTAAATATGGCAAGGCAGTCCCCTCTCTCATCATCCGTCTTGGGTATTATTGAGTACGATGCATATCATGAGAACCCAATTACTTGGGGGCTGAACCCACTACCGTCTTCACCCGAATAGAACGCCCGATAATTGTCGCCGCATCTGGGCTTAAAGTTGTGCCAAATACAGCCATAACAACCGGGCGTTCTATTCGGGTGAAGACGGTAGTGCTTCCTTGGCATGGACACAGCACGACCAGAGCCTGCCGCCCTCTCATGCTGTGTCCGTGTTAAGCTAGTGCAGCCAGATACTTGTGTAGCATACATTAGCACAACTAGCCAAGCATGAATAATAAATAATAAAGCAGAACAGATCGAGCTCATGGAGGTCGGTTGTTCTGAGCACAGGATCATATCAGAAGATGCAAAAAGATCGGATCCCCAGCATTCATCACACACAATACAGCTTATCCTGCAGCTCAGAAGAGCGCAGTACGGAGAAGAACGGCGATCCGGCAGCTTGAACCATAGGTACTTTTGCAAGCCATTTTGTTCCACGCAGCCGAAAATGCGCTGTCACCTTTAGGGCGTGGTGGATTACCAGATCAAAAAGGCTGGTGGTGCCAGCCAAAAAATTATGATCGACGCCCAGGCCGGTTCGACAAAACTCGGTCCACAGCAGAAAAATCCGCATCGGGAAAAAGAGGCTCGGAAGTACTGGTAGTTTGTCATGTTTTGTTGTCCATCCCTGTGGTGATCGGGAGCATCTGAGAACAAACTGTAAAGCCCCTCTTCAGGTGCTAGTGGTGTCTGCTCTTACCAGCACCACTATCACTGGAAGGGGGTTTCAAAAAAAAAAAAAAAAAAAAAAAAAAAACTGTGTAAAGTGGATTGGCAGGCAAGGTCAAATGAGACAGCTGATGGAAGTCACATGGCAATGCAAGGTCAGATGCGACAGCTGATGAAAGTCACAGACGCAACTTCAAGAAGGGGGAGGAAAAAAACACTTCAGCACCACCACAGGAGCACCCGGCGGCAGCGTACTAGGCGGTGATGCTTATACCACTCCACCTAGTAGGCCGTGGCTGGCTGTCTTTCGAAACAAAAAAAAAGGGGGCAAGTACGTAGTGCTGGAGTCACGCCCGACGTTCAGAAGAGGCAACTTTAGCAGTTCCCGAAATGGAGCGAAAAAGGGGACCCTACTAAATCTGCCAAGCGCCACTGCGGGCATAATGACTGGCGCAGTCTTAGACCCATGGTCCCATGCTAACCTAGCACATTTTGAAACTCACATCATGACATCCGCACCCCATTGTCTTTTGTTGCCTATTTCAAACTAAAAGTGTGCCACAGCCACAGTTTCGCCCGCGCCCCAAAACAAAAACAAAAAAAAAACAAATACAAAGTCCACTGGAACAGGCACTTGAAATCATAAGGAAGAACAGCATAACTCGGCCTCCAATTGTCCTCTATGAAGTATGCGAAGTTGCCAACTTGTCCCTGAGCGAAGAAGACAATTTGGAAAACCCAGGCACTAGAATACAAGATGAATAAGCACACGCCTGCAGTAGTAATGAAAATAAATAATAAGGAGGAGGTAAACAGAGGGACAAGGAGTGCAGGAGGAACGGGAGATGGGGGAGGGAGGAGGAGGAAGGAGGGAGGAGAAAGGAGGGGCAGGGAGGAGGAGGGAGGAGGAGGACGGAGGAAGCAGAGACAAGAAGGTGACAGATGGCAGCCAGGAAGATAAAGAGGAAGATGAGGAGAGAGATGAAGAGAGAAGAAAAAGGGGGGGAAGGAGAGAGAGGGAGGAGGAGAGGAAGAAAGAGGGGGGGAAGGAGAGAGAGGAGGGGAGGGGAAACAGAGAAAGGACAAGGAGAGGGGCGAGGTGGAGGGTGATGAGGAGGGTGTGGAAAAGAAGGGGAAAGGATGAGAAGCAGAAATAGAGGAGAGTGGAGTGGGAAAAAAAAAAAGAAAAAAAAAGAGGAGAGCGGAGGGACAGGCAGAGGAGACTGAAGGCGCAGGCAGAGGAAAGCAAAGCAGAATGATGAAGAGGAAGGATTTTTCCAAGGGAAACCTTGGAAAACTTCTCTCTGCCCTTCACCTCCTAAGCTCCTGTCAGAAGGATTCCCTTCAATCGCACCCTCCGCCCCCCTCCCTCCCCATGTCAAGATAGGTCCACATACCACCAACAGCGCCTACCATCTTCCACGAAATGCAACGCACCCTCAAGAAAGAGAGTCATTCCGTATCAGGGTGCTTTATGTTCGGGGGATAGATAGTCATTCATTATCAGGGTGCTTTATGATCGGGGGAAGGCGATAGTCACCAATGTACCGGATATCATTTCATCAAACACGAGGCGTCCTGTAGCTCTGAGGCAAAAACAGATGCACATGTATTTTCATGTCGCCTAAACCGCTACACAAGTCATCCGTGCCTCGCCACGGCTGGTATGCATATCCACAAAAGTAACTATGTGAAAAAAAAAAGGTGCAACAAAAGGCACACTGAAGACAAACACATTGGCGGGCGAGCAACGATGTGGGGAGAACAACCAGAACGAGCATGATGACACAGAACAAGCAGTGCAAGCAGTAGGCGGAGGGGACCATGTAGGACAATGACAACAAGGAGAAGAGGGAGCAGTTACAGGATGAGGGCGAGGAGGAGAGAAAGGGCAGGAAGGGGAGGAAGAACGAATGGCAAAGGGGAGGATGGGGGGGGGGGGGGGGGGGATGGGAGGAGGTGGACGAGGAGAGGGACAGACAAGGTGGATAAGGGGAGGAGGGTGGGGAGGATGAGGCGGAGGAAGCGGCGCCTTCGGTCATGACGAGGGAATATGAGGATTGGTTTGGGGGCAGGCGGCAAGTAGTACAAGAAAGAGGAACAGGCAAGGGGGAATACTGGGGAGATGGACAGGCAGGACGAGGAGGTAGAGGAAGAGCAGAATGAGGAGAGAGGAGCAAGAGGAGCGGAGGAGGGGTTGGCAGAGGTACTGAAGGATGGGCTGAAGGAGAGGCCAAAGGAAGGGAGAATGACAAGAGGAAGAAGAAAAGCAAGAGGAAGAAGACCAGGAACCGGAGGATGAGAAGAGGATGGCCTGGAATTAAGGCAGGGGAGGAAGTGGATGAGGAGGAAGGAGGAGGAGGAGGAGGAGGAGGAGGAGCATGATGAAGGGAAGGGAAGAGAGGGATGATGACGTGGAGGGAGGGGAGGAGACAGTCAAGCAAGAGGTAGCTCAGAACAAGGAAGGAGGAGGAGAAGGCGGGCCTGGACAGGGAGTGGAGGAGAAAGAGAGGAGAAGGAAGCGGAAAAGAACGAAGAGGATGCTGAGGAAGAGGAGCACTAGCAGGAGGAGGAGGGAGTTATGAGGGGAAGCATTTAGGAGGATGCAGAGGATGAGACAAGGAAGAAGAAGAAAGGCAGGAGGAGAATGGGGTAGAGGAGGAGGCGGTGGCGGTGGAGAAGACGAGCAAGAGGAGGAGGATGGGAAGAAAAAAACGAGGGAGATAGGAAGGAGGTGCAGCAGGCGTGCGACGAGGGGATAGGGTGGAGGCAATGGACGGAAACAAGGAGAACGCGCAGATGTCAGAGGTGGAGGAGAAGGAGAATAGATAAGAATGATAGAGGAAAACAAGGAGGGGAGGGAGGGGAGGAAGGGGAGGAAGGGAAGGAAGGGGAGGAAGGGAAGGAAGGGGAGGAAGGGGAGGAGGGGGAGGAGGGGAAGGCAAGGCGCACAAGCACAAAAGCAGCAGCACAGCAAGAGGAGGAGCAAGAGGAGGACGAGGAGGTTAGCAGCAGGAGAAGACGAGGAGGGGAGGAAAGAACAGAATGCCGAGGAGTGGATGGAGGGAAAGGAAGAGAGGGAGGGGAAGTAGTAGTTTGAGGAGGACGAGGAGGGGGAGGGAAAACAGGAAGGAGAAGGAAGGGGAAGCACATGACGAGAAGTAAGAGCAGGAGCAGAGTGGGGAGGAAGGAGGAGGAGAAGGAAGAGAAGCACAAGATAAGAAGTAAGTGCAGGCGCAGAGCAAGGAGGACAAAGTAGGAGACAGAGGATGAGGAGAAGGAGCACGTGGAGAAGTGGGAGAGGATTCAGATGACATGTAGGAAGAGGAGGAGGAGGAGCTAGCGGGAGATGCAAATGGAGAAGGAGGAGAAACTAGAGGGGGAAGGAGATGGGGAGAGAAGATGAGCACGAGCAGAGGCAACGAGAGTAGCAGGAGGACGAGGCAAAGCCGCAATGGAGTAAGGAGGCAAAGCAGCAGCAGCAGCAGAAGGGGACAAGGAGGAGGGAAGGAAGAGGAGGAAGTCTTAGAGGAGAAGAGGAGAACGAGGAAGAAGAGGAGGAGGAAGGGGAGGAGGAAGCAGAGTATGTGGAAGAGCAAGAGAGAAAGGAGCAAAATGAGGAGTCGTGTGCGGAGCAGGAGAGAGGTGAAGAAGGTGGAGGCGAAGGAGGAGGAGAAAACGGAAAAGGAGGAGGAAAGGTGCGAGAGAATGCAGACAGCGAGGAGAAGCAGCACGGGGAGATGGGTGGGTATGGATACCCAGGATGAGGTGGAGGAGTAGAGGAGCAGAAAAAGGAAGAGGAGGAGGAAGAAAGGTGAGATAGAAGGCAGAGAACGAGGAGAAGCAGCACGAGGAGGAAGGAGAGCAGGAGGAGACGAGAGGGTAAGGATACCCAGGAGGAGTAGGATTATTAGAAAGAGGTAAGGAAGCATAAGATGATGACAAGAAGGAGAAAGAGCAGGATGGGTAGTAGTAGTGGTAGGAGAAGGAGGAGGAGGAGCAGAAGGAGGAGCAGAAGGAGAAAGAAGAGCAGGGGCAAAAGCAGGAGAACCAGTAAGAGGAGGAAGAGGGGTAAGAGGAGGGAGATGACGAGGAAAAGAACAGGAGTTAGGAAGCGTAGGAATGGATGGCAAGAAGGAGAAGGAGGAGCAAGAGAGGAGGGAAAGAACACAAACAATGAGGAAGAAGAGGAGGAGGAGGAGGAGAAAGAGCAGGATCAAGGAGATGAGGAGGAGTAACAAGAGGAACAAGGCAGGTGGAGTTGCAGGCAGAGGAGTAGTAAGAGAAGAGAGATGAGCAGGAGGAGGAGGGAGAGGAGGAGGAACAGGAGGAGGAGGAGGAGAAGAGCAAGCAAAGGGAGAGGAGGGAGAGGAGAGAGTGGAGGGAAAGGAGGTCGACGAGGGAGAGAACAGAGTAGGAAGGGATGGAGAGGAGGTAGATAAAGGGTAGGAGGAAGAGCAGGAGCTGGAAGTTGTGGGAGGTCAAGGAGAAAGAGGAGGAGGAGGCAGACAAGGATGGTAAGAATGAGGGGGAGAACGTAAAGTGGAGGCGGCGAAGGACAACAACACAGATAAGGAGAACGGAAGGCAAAAGAACATGAGGAGGAGGAAGGGGAGGCAAAAGAACACAAGGAGGCACGAGCAACAGCAGGAGGAGCAGGGGGAGGAGGATGAGGAGAAGGAGAATGACAGGGAGAAATAACAGGAGGAGGAGCACGAGGAGGAGGGGAAGAGGAAGAGCAAGAGGAGCAAGTAGAGCTATAGGAAAAGCAGGAGAAGCAGGAAGACCAGGGGTAAGAGAAGGAGGAGGAGGAAGAGTAGGAAGAGGAGGAAGAGGAGGAAGAGAAGGAAGAGGAGGAAGAGGAGGAAGAGGAGGAAGAGGAGGAAGAGGAGGAGGGAGAGGGAGGGGGGAAGACTGTGGAGGAGTAAGAGAAAAAGGAGCAACATGAGGAGTCAAGTGAGGAGAAGGGAAGAGGTGAAGGACTTGGAGGCAAAGGAGTAGGGAGAAAAAGAAAGGGGAGGAGGAGGACAGGTGGGAGAGAACACAGACAACGAGGAGAAGAAGCACCAGGAGATAGGCGGATATGGAAACCCAGGAGGCGAAGGAGGAGGAGGAGGAGGAGGAGGAGGAGGAGGAGGAGGAGGAGGAGGAAAGGTGGGAGAGAAGGAAGACAACGAGGAAAAGCAGCACAAGGAGGAGGGAGAACAGGAGGAGGATTCCCGCAGGAGGAAGAGGATTAGACGAAGGTAAGGAGGCGGAAGATGATCACAAGAAGGGAAGGAGGAGGAAGAGCAGGAGGGGGAGTAGGACGGGAAGAAGGATGACGAGGCGGAGAAGCATGAGGAGGAGAAAACGGAGGAGCAAGAGGAGCAAGAAGAGCAGGGACAAAAGTAGGAGAAGCAAGCAGTAAGGGGAGGAAGAGGGGCAGTAGGGGGAGGAAGCAGAGGAATGGATGGCAAGCAGGAGAGGGAGGAGCAAGAGAGAGGAGCGAGGGGAAGCAAACAACGAGGAGGAAGCAGGAGGATTAATAGCAGAAGAAGTGAATCAGAAAGAGGAAGAAGAATCAGAGTGAGGGATGGGGATGAGGCGGAAAACGGGGCAGAAGAAGAGGAGGAGGAGGAGGACGAGGGGGAGCAGGGGCAAAGAGATGAGCAGGAGTAACAACAGGGACAAGGTAGGTGGAGTTGGATGCAGAAGAGTCAAGAGGGAAAGGAGGATGAGCAGGAATAGAAGAGCAAGAGGAGGGAGAGGAGAGACGGAGAGGAGGTAGACGAGGGAGAGAACGAAGAGTAGGAAGGCGAGGGAGAGGGGGTTAGACAAAGAGGAGGAGGAAGAGGAGAAGGAAGATCAGGAGGAGCTGGAAGTGGCGGGAGGTCGAGGAGAAAGAGGAGGCCAAGGCCGAAGAGGACGGTGAGAATGAGGACGAGAAGGTAGGCTGGAGGAGGAGAAGGACATTGGACAACAACACATAAGGAGAAGGGAGGGCAGGAGAGGGAGGAGCAAAAGCAGGAGGAGCTGGCCGAGGAGGATGGGGAGAACGAGAATGACAAGGAGAAGTAACAGGAGCCGGAGGAGCAAGAGGAGGAAGAGAAGAGGCACAGCAAGAGGAGAAAGAAGAGAGCCATCGGAAAATCAGGAGAAGCAGGAAGACTAGGTGTAAGAGGAGGAGGAAGAGGATGGAAAAAAGAAGAGGGCAAGAGGTAGGAGGAGGATAGATCGCAAGGAAGACAAAAAGGACGCTGGCAATGAGGAGGTGGAAGAGAGGAAGCAGGAGGAGACAACGTTGAGAAACCAGAAGGTGAAGAAGAGGAAGAGCTTGGGGGGGGTGCAGGCGGAGCAGGCGTAGGAGAAGGGAAGGGGGGTAACAGGGAGGAGGTGGGGAAGTGGGGACGGACGAGGAGGAGGAATACAAGGAAGAGGACGAGAAGATGAAATAGGAGTACAAGGAAGATGCGGAGGAGAAGGAAGAGGAGGATGAGAAGGAAGAGGGGGAAGAGGAGGAAGAGGAGGACGAGAAGGAAGAGGGGGAAGAGGAGGAAGAGGAGGAAGCGAAGGAAAAGGAGGAAGAGCAGGAAGAGAATCAGCAGCAGGGGAAGGGGGTGAAAGGAAACGAGGAGGAGGAGAGACCAATGGACGTACTGGGAAATTAATGCTTGAAAAGCTTGTGACAAAAGCTATGACAAGTACACAAAAATTACAGCCGCGAACTTGATGTCCTAGAAAAGAGAGACTGGCATGCTAGATGAAGAACAGCTCGGAATGAGCATGGGCGAGATATTTGTGACCAGGTAGGGCAGGTGATGGAATTTAACCAAATGTCTGTTAGCTGACAACAAAACATAAGGAGATTGATCAGTGGTCGAGTGCAGAGGGCTTGATTCTGATTGGCTTAAAACATCGGTAAAAAGACTGCAATGAGTCAACTGACTTCGAACAGCAGCCGTGCACCATTAAGAGGCCTGATGACATCGACTCATTGTGGCGGTATGGGTAGTGGATCAAGGCTTACCAAGGCAGTGAGATCAACATCTCCGGATTACTGGAGTCCAGTTCAAACTTCAAAACTTTAGTGACACCATATGCCAACCATGAAGACCTTGCACCTGTCTACTGCAACTGATGAGTGACCCACTTCATGCGGAGGTTATCACGGTCAGGAAGGTGTTCCAAAGGGTCAGTTGGCAACCCATCATTCGTTATCTAGCCTTCTTGACTCAACTCTGAGGCCTTTCGTTTCCCGTCAGATGTCTTTTGCTGCTTAAGGCGCATGCTATCAACAAACTCAATCAGTTTCTTGCAGGCCATGTGTAATTTGTCCGGCAGCATGGTCGCATAGCATGCCCGAAAGAACCCCGGCTCCACACAGTGGCATGCTGCTCCGGGTGTGAGGACGACATGGGCCTTGACCACCATCTCCTTCCACAGTGCCTCCTCAGCAGGAAACGTAGGCTCGCTAAGCAGAAACCGCAGGTCTACCCAACAGAACATGCCGGCACAAGCTGGCATAAAAGTCACGTTTGCATCCCGCAATGCACCGGTGAAGATGTCATAAGAATTCTTTAACCGCATGTTGTTGGTCTTGACATAGGTCTTCACAAATTCGTCATCTTCAAGCATCTCCGCCAGTGCATGCTGTGTGTCTGTTGACACAGCAGCAAACATTCCCAGGTTGCTCCATACATCCAGCAAATCTTGGTTACGTGTGTGTATGCAGCCCACACGAAACCCAGAGAGTCCAAAATCTTTGCTCATGCCGTACGCGGTATGAACCCTCTCTTTCAGTTCGTCTTCTCTCACTAATCCCTTTGCCACCGCCTGGTTTCCAACCTTTGCCATACTCACAAACCTGGATGTGTGCTCACCAAACTTTGAGTTGGCATATATTTCATCCGTCAATACATGCAGTCCTTTCTCCATAGCCCACACAAGTAGTTCGCAGAGGGTTTCTTCAGGATAAAGTGTACCAAGCGGGTTTCCTGGGTTGGTGAGAAGCAGCATCCTTGGGTGAACGCCCTTCTCCTCGGCCAACGAATACGCATTTTCCAAGTCCTCGGCAGTAGGGATGTACGTCCCAATGTCACGTGGTTGTACAGGGATCGGGACGACTGCGTTGCGAACCGACATGTCGTTGTCAAACGCTGGGAAATAGGGCGCAGGGATCAGACAGCCATCCCCTGGGTCACAGACGGCGAAGAAAAAAAGATCCAACACAGCAGTTACACCACTGGAGATGCAGATGTGGGCAGGGTCGACTGCAACACCCATGAAGGTCCTCTCCATCATCCGAGCAAGAGCGCACCGCAGACGCTCCCCACCACACATGTTATCGTAAAGCCCAATGTTTCTCGGAACGTTCCTGCACTTGCGGATCTTGTCGATGACCAGGTCAAAGGTCAGGATGCTCTCTGCTGTCCCCATGGGAAAGTACCCCAACAGGTTTGATGGCGACCATATGTTCTTCTTGGCACGATTAATGACCTCTATGTAGGGAGAGAAGGGGAGAAGGGCACGCGATCCTCGGGAAGACAGGCTTGATGGCATTCCGCGGGGTTGTCGTCTCTGAAAAATTTCCGAGGACCCTTCATGTTCTCCGACCACTTCCCTCCCAGCATCCTTGCCATCAATGGCTGCCACATCCCGTGCAGCTTCATGCCCTTCCTCCTTCTGAAGCTGTTGAAGTGGACCGTCTGTTGAAAGAGGGCCATGATCAAGGACATGCGCCGTGCGAAGGGGATTCCGTGAAACAGACTCCGTTGGATGCGGTTGTGCAGAATGCGAGAAGCGCATATTCCCAAACTCGTCCATCTCCTGTAAGACCTCATCGCCCTCTTCTGCTTCTGCATTCTGCAAAACTTTCTGTTTCTTCCCGACTGCTTGCGGCTGGCATTCTGTAGAGGGATTTGGTGAAGAAATACAATCCGTTACCGTACGTGTAGTACTTGTGAGATGATGGATTGATGATGAAGTGGAAGGGGATGGGGTCGACACCTGTGGTGAGTGCACGTACCTGTTTGCCACACCCCATGCCAGCGGACCTTTCGGTTGCTTCACCATTGTAGCATGCTGAAAGGGTATCCTCAACAACAATTTGCCCAGTGTGTGTCTTCTACCAAACGATGAAATGTCCTCTGCAAAATGAGAAAAAACAGTTAACTCAATCAAAAGTGGTGCAAAGGGTTGTCTTCGGATGGAGACCAGAGGCCATGGCAAACTGCGCTTCGTACAGTTCGGTAGTGAAGGATTTCCACTGTGAACTAATGAACCGAGTATCCCGATCATTCACAATCATTTTCCAGGGGGCCGTTCGAGAATGTAATTTTTCTAGAATTTCTCGATAACCAGGTCCATCGGTGCATGCCATGGTAAAGGAATGAAGGTAACAATCTTGGGAAACCTGTCAACACACACCATGATTTGAGAGAACTCATTTCTACTTTCATTACCCATATCGATGAAGTCAATGGAAACAGACTGACCGGTCCTTCGGGAATAGGAAGAGGTCTAAGCAAACCAAAGGGTTGCTGCCAGACGATTTTATTCCTTTGGCAGACCTGACAACTCTCCACAAACTTATACGCAGCTTCCTTCATTTTATGCCAAAAAGAATTCTGCAACGAACTCCCATACGTTTTAGCGATTCCGAAATGAACGTTCTTGTCGTGGCATTCACCCAAAATTCAGGAGCAAATCGCCTCAACATCCAGCACACACACAAAGTCACATGCCGTATGTGCGCGGAGCAGCATACTGTCTTAAATGCGAAAATCAGGCTGGCTCCCAGCCAGCAACTGTGTAAAGATCGGTCCAAGTGTTGCTTCCACAATGGACTTGCGAAGACTGGAAAACATATTCAAAGACATGACAATGGAATTCATATATTCCGGATGATGAGAGAGAGCATCAACAACATGATCGTAACATCCTTTCTTGTGCTTGAACTCAAAGTCATACGCATCAATCTCTTGGCACCATTGAGTCAAGGTAGTACTGAGTTTGGGTTGGGTCTTAGTCCACTGCAAAGTCTGATGACCAGAATAGACTTTGAACTTCGAAGTGGCGGCCAAGGAGGTAGTGTTTCCAATTCTCCGAAGCTTCCTGAAGCGCGAAGAGTTCACATTCGTAATTCATCTGCCTGCTCATGTAATCGACTGGGTGCAGTCCAGTCTCATCATCTTGCTGCAGAACAGCACCAATGCCAAATTGGCTTGCATCAGTGGTCACAACAAAAAGGAGACTGGGATCGGTGATGCAAAGGATTAGATAACTTACCAAAGCAGTCTTCAATTTCTGAAACGCATTACTCAATCCACACAAAACAAACATTTTTACATGTCATTTGACTCAAGAGGTGGGCTATTGCAGATAAATTTGGAACCAATTTTCAATAATCAGATGCAAGACCCAAGAATGGTCGCAGATGGCGTACGTTCTCAGGTTGAGGCCATGAGGTGATGGCCTCCACCTTAGCTACCTCCGACTCAAGGCCTGCAATGGAAATCCCATGCCCAAGGTAGATAACGGTATCCTTCCCAAACTCAGATTTCTTTAAGTTTAGCTGCAGCTTCTCCTTGCGCAGGATCTCTAGGACCTCTCACAAGTGGCGCTCATGTTCCTCCATGGACTTACTGAAAATCAGTACATCATTGAGGTGCATGACCACAAACTTGTTGCATCTTGAAGACTCGGTCCATCAGTTTCTGAAATGTGGCCGGTGCATTCGTGGTGCGTCTTGAATGCAGCCTTTTGTTGATCTACAGGATTGACTTCAATCTGGTTGTATCTAGATTTGGGATCGATTTTGGAGAACACCTTGCAACCGGTGGCTGCATCAAGAAGGTTATCAACCCGGGGAAGAGGATAGGCATTCTTTCTAGTGACTCTGTTCAGTCCTCAATAATCAATGCACATTCAGAGCTGCCTATTCTTTTTAGGCACAAAGGCACTCACTTGGTCTGATCTGCCCCTTATCGGGAAGTTCCTCGATGTGCCTTTGCAGTTATTCTTGCTTCGCCGGCCCCATGCGGTATACACAACCTCTAGGGGGCTGGTTGTCCGGCAAGATCTCGATCTTGTGCTTAACAACACGTCGTGGCACACCACGCGGCTCTACAAGCACTTCCCAATACTTGCCAAGACGAGACTGAGGGTTGGCTGGGATAACATGACCAGATTTAGAATGAGATGTGGAAGATAAGGGTAGATCCTCATTCAACAATACATTGCGGATCCGGCGCGGGGGGGGGGGTGTACTTACCTCCAGGAAGGCAGCGGCTCTCCGCGAGGAGATGCCAGCAAGGCGGCATCGACGACGACGATGGGCGACCGCACCACATCGAGTGGTGGATGGGGGTGGGGGGGAGAGTGTGGACGTTCGAATTTGAACGTCCACGCTATGTGCCGTACTGAGGCCCACTGGCGTGAGGGGTACTTCAAAGTTGAACCTGCCCCTATGCGCCTGAATCCTCACAAATCAACGGCCTAGAGGGCCCCAATTTTCAGACAAAAAACGAGGGCCTGCAGACCCTCTTTTTTTGTTTCTTCAGGCCCAGGCTGCTCTACAGCTGGCGGGGAACGTGCCAGGGCCAACCGCGAGGAGAAAAAACCGGCCGTCTATTTTGCGTGTCGCTGGCCCAGTTGAAGCCCAACCAATTCGCTCGGCCGGGCCTCCCAGGCGTGACCTGTGCCAGCAACAGCTGCCCGTACGGCATGGCTGGTAATCCAGCAAGCGTGTCAATTTCAATTGTTGCATTGGATTCACTCCGTAGAAGGGTTTTTGCGTTTCCAGGCGATAATCTATGAAGAGTATATGGGCATTAGGGCTTTTCCCAAATGCATCTAACCATAAAAAGGACTTCCATTCCGGCTTTTCCCGGATGCATCTGACAATAAAAAGAACTTCGCTAGATGTATCCTCAAGAGAGAGAGGGAGAAAAAGACAAAACTTGGGGGGTCAATCAAACAGAAAATCGGAACACACCCTTCAGTGGCTTCGCCCATAATGGAAGGAAGCGCACAGTGGGTTTTGACGTAAGGGACACCAGGCCCGGATTCCAGTTGGAAAAAAGAAAATCCAAACGGGCTCCGCAAGGCTCCATCACTGTGGAGGGTGCAAAATATGTAGAGTCTCCATTGCTGCCCTTCTGCCTCATCCACACAGAGAGATCAACAAGTAAGAATGTGCCTTCTCCATTGGTGTCGAGGGTGTGAAGTCGCCCTTGACATCGCTGACCAGACCCATCTGAGCAGATCACCCAGGGAAGCCAGCGGAGCTGGGAGGACAAGGCGACGACCACATAAACAGGGAGGACAACGAGACGGCCACGTAAACATGTGAATCACACCTGGAGCGCATGCAGTCATCGGTCTTCCCAGAGGTCTTCGGAGGCTTTGTCGACACTTCGTGGCATCGTGCTTCAAGGAGTGGATTCGCCTCAACGGACTCCTGTGAACAAGAGACGAAGAGGACTCGGCCACACCACCAACCATTGAGGGTTGCATGGCAGGGCGAGCGAGGCCACCCCAAGTGACGAGGAGATGACAGGATAATCAGGAGAAACGCAAAGTGTCTGCAACAAAGAGTACACTTGGTCAACGATCTTGGTCGAGCAGAGACGAGTGTCAAATTGAGGAGAGGACATTCAGCGCACACAAAGCGAGCGGGAAGAGGATAGCCAGGGTGAAATTCATAAGAATCTTCCCGGACCTGCATCGACCAATTGCCAACCAAGGAGAGGTAACACAACACATCTCCCAATCTGCGAAATCAGGTCATCTTCCTTCCTGGGTGTGAACCAGGCAAGGTCACGGAAAGCGGTATATTGAGAGAGTAGATAAGGTTAGGAACACGAGAGAGTGCACGCGAGGTGAGGTTCTGATCATAGCGCTTAAAGAGGAACATGGGGGCACAGGGATGCCCCCGACTTCCGCACAAGCCACATAGCCTGTGGTCAGCAACAGATCCACATCCCCCTCGGAGGAATCCAGGTGGAATGGGGAAGCAACCCGGGAAGGCCGTCCACCTCAGCACTCACTGGGGCAAAAGGCTTTGGACTTCCTAATGAGTAGAACTCGAATCCAATCAGAGGTAAAAGTCACAAAGGAGACATTCAAAGCGGACGATGGGGCCGAAACGACGATCGATGTGTGGGAATATCCAGAAGAGGATCTGGAGAACCTAAATGAACTTGATCAAAAACATGCGGTTCTCTTGAACTTTTCACGCACCAGCACAGCTTTCCATGAATGACAAACGGATATGTATGCTGGAAAGGCTAAGGGCGTTACAATTGGTGCCAGGGACTGAGCCAGGAATCTGCCTGCATAACAGCCGAAGAAACACAGTCATCATAGTTTGCATTGATGAATCATATGCATGCCATCTCCGCACGCAGGGATCGCTGAGCTGCAAAGGCTCCGTGGTCTCAATCCCTGCATGGAAACCGTGAAGGGTACCGCAGGGTGAAGCATCCAAACACCAAGAGGACATGCTAAGAAAGCATTTTTGGGTTCAATTTGATAACCTGTGAGAGGGGTCACATAACATGATACAAAAAAGATTAGAATTGGAAGACTCAAATGACCCCATTATAGACTGGCTGCCAGCAGGGCCAGACTTCCTTGCCCCTCACCACAGTTCCAGAATTGTGTGTCTTGATTTCCCATCAGGTAAACCCTCCCTCCTTCCCAGACGTTCGGCTCTTCAGGAAGAATGGACACAGAGAAACGGTGTTTGTGTCTACCAAAACAAATCCCTTGTGCTTTCACTATAGAGGGAAAGGTCACCTGGGCAACGATCCCATCAGAGAGAGAGAGAGAGTATTGTAGATCAACTAGACTGGTACGGTAAACACCCACCACACTACTGTGTCTGCAGGAAACGCACTTAACAGACTCACCTGTCCACATGTCAGTCCAAAGGGAGATCACACGGGAGCTGAGATGGGTGAAGGGGGCCTACTAGGCCCCTTCACCCGGGAGAGGCTCAGCACGCACAGCCATAATCGAGCATGCCAACACTGCAGCAGCTAGCAGACTCACCATAACCGGCAGAGACAAAACGGACGGGCAACGGGTCTTGTCGGACTTTGCCATGAAGGACGATCAGTTCCACTTGGCGTCAGTGCACTGTCCAGGCACTTTGCAGCAAAGAACGGAGCTGATAGAGCATATTTTACCTCTTTGTACTACCCATACACATCTGCTACACACGGGCGAGTGGAATGCAGTCACCAACCCCAGTATGGACAGGATCTCATGGGGGTATCAGGGTCGGAACATACTGTCTGGACAGAAGAGCTCCCAATCCACAATCTCGTGACAGAAAAGGACCTAATAGAAGGGCCCCCAATGCACAATCTCGTGACATGGGCTACTATTTGAGAAGACAGACATCGTAGATCGGCTATGCATTCCCAATAGTGACGAGATCCGTAGTCTGATCCTAGGGGAATGTCACGATACAGAAGGGCAAAAGACACTCGCCAACCTGATGCGTGCCTACACGTGTCTTGGCATGAAAGCTGACTGTATAGAGTATGTGTGTAGTTGCAAGGTGTGCCAGCGCAATAAAACTACGACGCGAGCCCCCTTGGGTCTTCTCAGACCCCTGCCTATCCCGTCAGGAAGACCTGGAGATTCTGTGTCAATTGCTTTCATGAATACTGGGGTCAGGAGTAGGCATGGCAAGAGCCAAGTCATGGTTGTAGTTGATAGATTTAGCAAATACGCAGTTTTTGTCCCTGTACCTGCTGAAGCACGTTCAGATCTAGTAATAGAGAAGTTCTTTGACCATTGGGTCAATGAGCATGGTCTACCGCTGTCAATAGTTAGTGACAGAGATACCAGGTTCACCAGTCACAACTGGCAGGAGCTTATGAAAGTGTATGGCTCGAAGTTGCTGATGTCATCTGGCCGTCATCCGGAGACTAACGGTCAGACCGAACAGATGAACAAGATCCTGCAACAAGTTATCAGATCGTACATTTGACCCGATCAAGTCAACTGGGACGAGATGCTCCGAAAGGTAGCCAGTGCTTACAATGATAGCCATCTACCCACCTGTCTCACTCCCAACGAATTACACAAGTCCTTTAGACCCCGCAGACCGTTTGAGGGACTGAACCGGCACCAGATTCAGAGGCTACCGCCTGGTACTAGGGAGTTCGCATTACAGCACAAGAAAGAGATTGCTAAAGTGGTAGAGAACCTCAGGAAAGCCCAACACAGGATGATAGAGCAAGCCAATAAGCACAGTCGCCAGTTCCAAGTAGGGGACTTAGTCTGGGTCAAGTCTAGAGAGTTTGCTCCTCAGGAGAACATCTCGCAGAAACTGTTGCCTGCCTATAGAGGACCGCGGCCAGTCCTAGAAATCAAGGGCGGAGATGATGGGCAGTCCTACACCATAGAGATTCCAGCACACCTCCACACCTACCCAGTTCTCCATGCATCAAAGTTGTTGCCTTGCACTACGAGTCAGCAGTTCCCATCAAGAAGGTCCATGATCACTTTGCATGATTTCAAGATACTCACATCGGAACTGTCCAACATTGTGAATGCACAAGGACCACTTCCAGATCCAGATGCATTTTGAATGCTCCATAATGAAGCGAGGACCTCTGCTCATGGCGCGCTGTTCGCTGCTGGGGGTGGCAGAACAAACCATTGGGTGGGGGGCCTGGCGCTTCAAGCATGGAAGACAGCGCCAGGGCCTGCACAACCATTAAAAAAAAAATAAAAAAAATGGCTACGTACTGCTTTTTGAAAATGAACAGTGGCTTTTAAATTACCTAATGAATTATTGATGCCGCTAAAGACACAGGAGGAGCTATTCGTAAAAAACAAGAGATGGGTAGGACGGTGAAAAAGTCTGAGACTTAGAACTCCCCATGAACTCACAAAGAAGGAAGAACTTATTCCTCTGAGCTCCACCAGCAACAAGCGCATGAGAGCCTTTGCCAAGATGCAGAATGCCATATGGACGTCATAAATGAAATACATTGCACTGAGCGTTACATCTCATGGAGTAAGAAGCAAAATGTATGTGTGCCAGTGTGTTACATACGGGATTCCACACCGGCCCTGTTAGGCCTGATGGCTAGGTCTAGGGGGTTGTCCCAGACCGTGGCCATGCTGGGCCAGTCCGGCCTGGGTTAAAGGCCGGACCTTTGGAAAGGCGCCCCTAGGCCTCCAGCAACCGGATTTAGACCCGGGCCTGCAACTGCAGGCCCTGAGCGGGAAACCGGCCCAAACGTTTTTTGTTTGGGCCTGGCGGCCGAAGATTGAGGCTGCCACTTCCCCGCGGGTCCGATCTGAACCGCAAAGCGGTTTGACGGTTCAGATCATGGCGCGGCTTCACCAGCAGCCAGGCCGAACAGGCCACCGCCGGTACTTAGCACCGGCCAGCGGTCTGTTCGGGACAGACTTGAGGCCGCGGCATTGAGGACCACCGGTGCACTATTTTGGTATCAGCGCAGCTCCAGGCAGTAGCGCTAAGTGTAGCGCTAGCTGCAGAGGCGAGAGAGAGAGAGTAGAGACTTACCTGGTACTTACCTGTGAGCGCCGTAGCTCCAGCGTCGAAAGCAGGTCTTCAGCAGCTCCAAGGTGGCACCTTGCGTCCGCAGGTTGGTGCCTGGACACTGGATCAGGGAGTGAGGACTCTCCTCCTCCCTCCTCTCCATCTCCACCTTCTCCTCTGCCCCTCTCAGTTCTTCCTCTTCTTCTTCTTCTTCTTCATCATCATCTTCTTCTAATCTTCTACATTCTGGACTAGTATCTGGACAGAGATCAGAGGTGGACTATCGGTGACATAGGGACTGAGACTTTTTCGGATTGAGACAGTGAGGGGACTATGATGGAAATCTGACATCAGTGGCCTTACAAGATTCTGTATCGTCGACATTTCGAGAATTTGTATCTTCGACATTTCGTGATTTCTATTTTGGCGATCTTGGTGTTGGCACCATCTCCCTTCCCCTCTTCGTCTCTTCTCCCTACATTTCGTCTCCTCATATGGGGGGGCAGCTTCACTTACTATCATGGTTGCATCCCTGCCGACCGCCGACCCCGACTGCCGACCGTATTGCAGCTGACCAGTAGGGCTGACTGGTCGGCATATCTGAGTTGGAAGCTGTACTGCGCTTGCTGAGTACAGCCCAAATCCGCTGAGAAACTTTTGGGGATGGGGGGGTTGGGGGTGGGGTGTATAGGGGGATATAGGGGGGTATAGGGGTGGTATAGGGGGTATTGGGGGGGGTTATGAGGGTGTTGGGGGCCGGTTTGTGGGTGTTGGGGGGGTGTATGGGGGTATTTGGGGTGGGTATGGGGGTGTTCGTGGGGCTGTCTCTTATACACATCTAGATGTGTATAAGAGACAGCCCCCGACCGGTAGGTGCCGACCAGCTGACCGGTCGGCGGGTCGGCAGCCGACCAGTCAGGGGTCGTCGACGGTCGGCGTTACTATGCTATTTTTCTTCTCTCAATACTTTCCATCTCACACTACCTACCTCGGGCTGTGTACTCGAACTGGTATACCCACCTTCCGGACCTGCAAGGGGCATGGCAACCCAACCAGCAAGGAACCCAGCTCCATGTTTCGAGGGCCAACTACGGGGTTTAGGGTCGAAGACTGTTAACCACCTACTTTCTGGATGCAAAATCAGAGCTTAAATTCATGAGACAGGCCTAAGTTGCAAGGAACCTGACTGTTCACAGCTTGCTAGAGTGTTCCACATCGCATGCATAGATGTCATCATACAGATAGAGAAGCTTCACACAAAGCCAAGTCGAGATGAGATGAGAACCAGATAGCGCAGTTCATATTATCAAAATCACATTATATAAAGAGTATCTCGAGTTCAAGAGTTCAGCGCCAACAGATCACAAGTCTCCTTCAATCAATCGCCAATGTAGAGCCTGGCTCAGCCAGCCTATGCCCCAGATCACAGGTATGGCGCCAGCAGGTAAGTATCCACCATATCCAACTTAGGAACGTGTCCTCTTTCTCTCTTCCCACTCAAGATCTCTGTTCTGATTCTCTCGTCTCAACATGCATGCACCCTCCCTACTTAACGAGAATCTACTCTGAATGCTACTCACTGATATCGTACCACTAACCCTTCTACTACTAACCAAGCTGGCGCAGCTATGGCTTCTTCTGCTAGCCAACGCCCAGCACTTCTCCTTCCTGGCGCAGCTTTCAAGCCAGCGCTCCTTCCCTGCACTCTAGCGCACAAGTGCCACAGCACTTCCACGCATCAATGCCAATGGGAAACTGTGTTGTGGGGAGGCTGGCCTAGTCTCTTATAGTGCTGGCCTCCCTTCACGAGGTCTGAATCAATCTTCCTTGGGTCTTTCCCCAGTCCCAGACCACTGCAGAATGTGTCCCGGTACCTTTCCCTCAGGGTCTGCTGCTGCTGCGGCCTTTGGGCCTGAATTTTAGACACTGGGTGACTGGGTCTGAATCTGGACTACCTATTGGACTTTGACCTGGGCTGAGACTCTACCCCATTGACTTCCATTCGAATAGACACAACTCTTGCACGAACAGACATGACCTGCACAAACAGACACATCTACTGCACGAACAGACATGACTTACACAGCCCTCTGGATGAACAGACGTGACTCTCACAATTGATTGCTGCAACTGTTCATCCTGGGGCACAACTGTGACCTTTGACACAACTCGTCACTTCAGTTAGGATGTGACTTTTGACCCAGAGAACATGTCTTTCGATCTGCTTTTCACGAATTGAGTTCTGGCCGAGTGGGCCCCATTATGCTGCGTTCGTCATTCAGGGTCTGAACGGGTAAAGGCCCTTTTAAAGTTATCCTAAGGTTATGGGTCAATGCCTACCTATCTCTGCTCAGTGCAGGGAGCAGTACCCAAGCTCCTAACACCTGGCACAAGCTGGAAAGAGCCAATTACCTCCACAACCAGCCAGGAGGCCCAAGCCAACAGTCTTCGCTGGTGAACCCGAGGCAGGAGGTTGCTGGGATTGAAAGGACGACATTGAGTATCGAACCCATGACCTTCTGAGTGCAACTTACGTGCTCAACGAACTGAGGTAGCTCGCTTGGGCCATCTAATTGCCAATGAATGCCCTTTTTCCGGTTTTATCTTGGATGATGAACCTGTAATCACCTGCAAAATCACAGACCGAGAACTGTGCTGATTTCTGACTTTTGCCGCAGGGATGTATGCCTTGCTGAGATTCCTGCATTCTGCTGAGTTTTCTAAGCCTGTGTATGAGTGTGCTTGCTGGTCCGCGTGCCTGTCTGAGTGCTTGTTGGCGTAAGTGTGTGTGTGGCCCGCTAGGGCACTTGTTTGTTTGGGAGGCCTGCGGGGCCGGTACTTACCTGTGGCCGTGACTTTGAGGGTTGCAGCGAGGAAAAACACTGAAGTGGCCGAAGGGGGTAGCTTAGGGCACACTCAAGTAGTGTAGCATTGGTACCAGTAGCACTGGAGTAGCGGTAGGCCGAGCAGAAGAAGACAAAAAGTTAGTACTTTAGAGGCCCGGTAGCGGTAGGCCTAGGTCTAGGCGGGTACCAGTCCAAGTAGCCTGACTCTAGGGCCTGTGCGGACAATATCAGAGCCTGCAATGATATTTCCATTTGAAAGGGAGGAGGTACCGGTTGCTTGGAGGCCGTGCAGCCTGAAAGTCACCAGCCCTGAGGCTGGTTGGCTGCTCTATCTCCTGGAGGAGCGAGTAGCTCCTCCTCATTTGCGCTATGCAAGTTTGGGCATCATTCTGCTTGAGCGGACGCTGGTTCTCAGAGCGCTGCTGGGGAGGAAGGAGGAGAGCTGGGCGCTCTGCCTGGCTATGGCGAGCAGCCCAGCTTGAGGAGGAGGGAGAAGGGAGAGAAGGACGAGAGTGGTGAGGTAATTACTGGGCTGTGGTGCACACCATCTTCATCACCTTGTTAGGCGCTGCATCTGGAAGGCCCCAGTTGGGGTAGCGCTGCACCAAGAAGGCTTCAAGGCAGAGTCAGGCATGGCGGCCTGAAGAGCAGCGGCCATAGCTGCTTTGTGTTGCCCTTTGCGCGTCAAGGCAAGGCCCTGAGTAGTCCGCCATAACCTAGGCCTGTGCGAAGTAGAAGAAGAGGCAAGCCATCGCTATGGTGGACCTCTTGTTGTGCTGGCAGTAAGTTGATTCTGGCTCAACCATTCATTGTTATTATTATTATTTGGTGAAGAATAAGATTGGTGGAGATAAGGAGGAGGAGGAGAGTAGAGAGAGAAAGGGGATTTGTCATTGGTCTTTCTGGTGTACATCTTCTTCTTCTTCTTCTTCTTCTTCTTCTTCTTCTTCTTCTTCTTCTTCTTTATCTCTTTGCAAGTGCTGTCATTTCTTTTGCAATTGGGTGGCACTGTCCTTCCTTTTGAATTTGCACTTCGGAATTAGCCAGGATCATAACATTTGGCATCGGAGCAGACTTACCTGCTGGCTCGAGGTGTTAGTCACCCTAACCCTATTTCCGAGTTAGTTAGGGCTAACCTAATATGGGATTAGGGTTGGAGGTTAGGTTAAGAGGGGCAGCGAGGTATTGTGGGTGCTGCCCCCCATTGGAGCGGACTTACCTACTGGCCAGAGGTGTTAGTCACCCTAACCCTAATTCCGAGTTAGTTAGGGCTAACATAATCTCGGATTAGGGTTGGAGGTTAGGTTAAGAGGGGCAGCGAGGTATTGTGGGTGCTGCCCCCACCTGGTTAGGTCATGTTGGGTGGACATTGGACCTGACCAGGTTGGTTGAGTGAATACTAGGGGTGGCGAGACACAAAGGAGGCTGACTGGAGTGAGCGAGAGGGAGTAGAGAGTGAGAGGTATTCGCACCTGGAATCTGGACTTGAAGAAGACATTGAATGCCTTCTGGCGTTCCTCCAAGAGGCAGACTTGATTGGAAGCTGCCATATCTGCATCGAAGAGCTGCAATCTGGTACGTTGGTCTTCAACATCGACAGGAGATCCGGCATTGTATATTGGTGTAGGTAGGCCCTCTTAGTCATGCTAGGACACTTCGTGTAGTGGTAGCCATGAGAGAGGGTGCTGCGTCATTATCTCATCTTCGGAGGCCGGGCCTCACAGGTAAGTGCCGTGTGACTTGGGTTGCCCAAGGGTGGTTGCACAGTGCTTCGTGGCCTGTTGGGGATTGTGCTGGGCTCTTTTCCTCTTTTCGGCGATTTTAGTTGTATGTGTGAGTGTGTGGACTGCTTTCTCGCCTGATGACTGGATGGAGGATGTATCTTGTTCTCAATGGCATATCTTTCTATAATGCATTGTCTTCTCATGCCTGAATGGCTGTAGTGAGTAGGTCCTTGGTGAAGTTCATTTTTCCTTGTCAGTACTGTAGAGGCAGTTTGGGACCATCTTGGGACACCCTTCTGGTTGGTCCTGGTCCACGACCTACTTGGGACCCTTTGGGACGCGGTTGGACAAGGCCCAACGGGACAGGGCCCTTTGGCCCCAAATCGGTTGCCGTCGGTTGCTTTTCTCTGCTGCGCTGGAACTGGAGGACCCCTTTTGAGGGGATCTTGACTGGGTCTTACCGCACATTCTATCCCACTGCCCGCATTTGGCTCAGCGACTGTATGCACCCCTCGAAAACTTAATTGCTTCAGTTAGTCGATTCTTTGTCTGATTTATCTGTGATACATGATCTGTGTCAGCACTGTCAGGTCCGTCAAGAGGGGATCTTGAGTCTGATCTGACCGGACCCGTTCATTAAGTCAGAGCTCTATCTAAATTATTATTATTATTATTATTATTATTATTATTATTATTATTATTATATCATTCTTATTAATATTATTATCATTCTGTTTCGCTGTGCAAAAGCCATTCTCTGATCCAAATGAATTGTCGCTCCGGCTAGGAGTTCCACCTTCTCTCTTGAGTGTCTTCTCTATACAACTAAAGCAAGCAAAGGGTCTAGTGTCACGCTTGGTTGTGGTCCCAACAGAAATCGCCTGGGACACAAAACCGAGGCGGGGGGGCAGGCCGACGCGGGGGAAGGCCGACGTGAGGCCAAGGCGAAGGAGTGGGAACCGGGCAGCGTCACGCTTGGTCGCGGGCCCAACAGAAATCGCCTGGCACACAAAACCGAGGCGGGGGGGCAGGCCGACGCGGGGACAGGACGACGCGGGGGCAGGCCGACGCGAGGCCGAGGCGAAGGGGTGGGAACCGGCCAGCGGGAATTCGAAGGCGCGCAGGCCTAGGCGAAGGGGCGGAGGGGCGACGCGGAAATTCGAAGCGGGGCAAAGCGGGGTGGGCGCGCAGAGGCGAAGGGGTGGGAACCGGGCAAGCAGGCCAAAGCGGGGTAGGCGCACATGCGGAGGCGAAGGGGCGGAGGGGCGAGGCGGAAATTCGAAACGGCCGAAAGCGGGGCACGCGCGCGGGCATCGTCATGAAGCAGAGGGGCGAGGCGGAAATTTGAAACGGTCGAAAGCGGGGCACGCGCGCGGGCAGCGTCGTGAAGTTCGCATGGGCGTGACGTCGATGCATGGCTATGTCCGACAGACGAGGTGGACGGGGCGGAGAGGGAGGAGGGAGCTGCTGTACACGTGTGTATAAGAAGGGCGCCCAGTGCCGCAGATAGGCAAAACGTGACTGCGACGGGAAGAGGAAGTGAGAGAGAGAGAGAGACGGACAGAGATCCCGCCTTGCTCACTTTCCTCCCTGTTTCACTCCCTCCTTTCAGACTCTCCACTCCCTACTCCTTTTCCCTCCCTTTGCCGCGGCGTCACCGTGGCGGGTCCCCTTGTTTTTTTTTAATTTTAATCTGAGCAATCTATGTCCGGATTTGATGTCCATCGATCGAGGGTGACAAGCGCACGCACCGCCCGGTTAGCGCAGCCCAGCGCCCAACTCAGGTCGGACTACGTACAGCACAAAATCCTTCGCGGCCATAGCCGTTGCTGCTAGCCGAGTACAGCACGAAATTCCTCGCGGCCATAGCTGCCGCGGCTAGCGGAGTTTCGTATGCGCGCGCTTTGGAGTAGACCTTCCTGGAGTGTCGGAAGCGATACACCTGAATCGACGCCACCTCCGCCGAACGGATGTGAAGACACCAAGGGGTAGTCGCCTTCAAGGGTTGAATCGAAAAGAGCCAAGCAGGGACGAGTGAGACCTCCCAATAATAACAATCTTCTCCTCACCTCCTTCTGGCCCTTCCCCCCCTCCTATACCTCATTCCTCTACGCCTTTGTCCTCCTGGCCTGACCTTCTTTTCTCCGATCATAATCAAGTGCATCCTTTTGCTCCCCCCCTTGTACCCCTCTCCTGCTATCGACCCAACCATCTTCCCAATCCCGATCGTCCCTCTTTTTGCTCCCTCTCAAATAGCCCTCTCTCCTCCCTTTCACCCTCTTTCCACTAATGCCCTCCTGACCACCGCTCCTTATTCCGATCCGACCTTTTGTCTTATCCCCCCCCCCCCATTCCCTTCGCCACCTCTATCCTACGCTCGATCTCCTGTCCTTTTCCGCTGCTGTGAGCGATCTTCCATCACTGGCCCGAATCC